TCCTTTGTTCGATGCTGGCTTCGATCCCAAAGTGAAAGTTCTGGGCATCTTGGTATTGGATCCGAATGGATGTCTGAGCGGTTGAAAGAGTCGCCTATTTGATTTGGATGAGTGTGAGCAGACGGGATGGATGTCTTAGCGGCTATCTAAGATTAGGGGGGAGATTCTCAGTAGCGGTGTTCCTTCTTTGTCTACTCTTCCTTTGAAATGGCGGGCTGGAAAACTTTGGCTCCCATTTCAGCTGCTCCCCAATCCCAAGGTAGCAAGAAGGTCAACCCTTCTTAGAGACTCTACGAAAAAAGAGCGAAGAAGTAAGGAAATGCGGCCCCTCTAGCTTGCATCAAAGAGTGGATTCACTGATCCGGATGGCAAACCGATTCCAAAGGAACTCCTCGCGCGATAAGAGAACGCGTGTGTGTATGTGCACCATGATTCCTCTAGTTTCGTTGTTTAATGGTAACGACCGCTTCTTTGATTGTTCTATTCCGGATGCTAAGAAAGGCCATAGATGCGAACCGATCAGCAAGTCTTATATACTGTGTTATGCGGGCTTCAAGAAGTTCCTGAGTGTCTGGGGTTAAGTAAGAATGTGGTGACTTCTTTCCTTTGTTTGGCTTCAGTCTAATCTCCATCAACGATGTCTGAAAACGGATGATTTAATTACTAACGTGTTGGACGGGGATCTTGGAGGTTTGTAGGCAAGCCCAGGGTGGTTTCCACTTCAACCCCTGATTGTTGGGTATGGTGGGCGTAGCGAATCACTATTTGGACTTCTATTGATTATTTCCCTCTAACTAGCTTTGGGCTTTCACTCTTGATTGATCAACGTGAGGGACTCGTATTTGCCCAACTCGAATGTGCTACCTTATCCGGGCTTTGTTGTCAGCCAAAGGAAAAGGAGAAACTAAGAATTGAGTGGACGCAAGGATACTTTTACTTTTTCTCCTTTCTAGTTTGGTCCTATTTCAGGACAGGGGAAGCGGTTAATGCTCAAATTACCTAATGTCGCGCGGGAGAGGGCAATGTGGACTGAAGGCTGGAGGAATTAAATACTTCGATCTTCCTGGCTATATATAGTTGTAATTGTTCTCTTTCATAGAAGAAATGAGCAAGCTCATAACGAAGGGATCTAACCCTCAGTGCTCCATACGGGGAAAGTGATTGATACCATGGAAGGAGATTAAGTGGACTAGCCCTCTAAGCGATAGGAAGGTCTAGTGCCTTGTTATGATGAGCGGGCCTTCAAAACGAAAGAAAACGAACTACTTCTATTCTACTAAAGAGCAATAGGGTACTCTTTTTTGTAATTGACTCTATAGCTTCTTCAAAGTTGGAGACGAAGGAAAGGGGCGGTAGTGCGGTAGAGCGGTAGAAGGGGGAAATATTGATAAAAGATGGCTAGTAGTAAGGTAAGCTGCTGTACCTTCCTTGTTCTTGTTAGTAGCCATTCAGAGCAGACAGGCAAGGAGAAGTCCCAATGCTTTCGTCTCCGGCTAGAAACAAGAGAGATTTCTATTGATAAGAAATGATAGCTATTGATTTGGTTTGGTTGAAAGCAGAAATTTGAAAATAAACACGGCCCTGAAGTACAAAATTGAAACCACATGTCGGATGAGGAGCGGGAGGAATTCCTCTTCTACCTACCAGTCAGGAAACGACTCATACCATTCAAGGAGTCAAGAATTTGCTAACCCAAATTGATATGAATGGAAGATGCCTCTGGAACTTCTTTTTCTCGGTCAGTCGAGGGAATAACCACACCTCACTAGAATTCTTCACTACTCCTACAAGCTTGACGAAGTTAAGCTGTCTAGAGGGAACTCGAATGTAAAAAAAAATAAGATTCCCTTTATATGTATAGTATAGATAGATATATACATAGATAGTATAGATTTGTGGACAGAGTTAAGGATAAATTGCACTGACACCCCCTAAGATTTATGTTTATTACAGTTTCCTCCTCACATTTGGAAAATTACACTAACTCCCTTGTCAGTGTAATTATTTGACGGTGTTAACTTTTAAGTTAAAATGACATATTTATCTTTAACCTTTACATATACTTTAAAGGGTAAATTACATTGACACCCCCTAAGGTTTCAATTTAATACGGATCCCCCCCTGACATTTAAAAAAAACCTAATTTAATAAAAATAAATACGAAGAAATATATTTAATTTGTAAAAAATTATTTCTAACCACTCAAAAGATAAAAATTATAACCAAATTAATTTTTTATTTTTTAAAAAAAAATTCTAAAAATCAAACCATACATAGCCTAAGAATCTTTTGATAAGTCATTTCTTACGTTGGTAACTTATTTAATTATTTGTTAATTTTACAACATTTTTACCATCTGAGACCTGTTTGGTAACCATTTCGTTTTCAGTTTTCAATTTATATTTACAAAAATTTTAAAAACTGTCATAAAAACTTGTTTGATAATTTTTTTAGTTTATAAATGGTTGTCTCAGTTTGTAAATTTGAAAAAAAAATGTAAATTCAAAAAATGAGTTTACGTTGGTTTTTGAACAGAAATTTAAAAATTTAACAAACAAAAAAAAAATTCAATTAATTTTTTTGTTTTCAAATAAATTTTTTTTTTTCAATTATTTTTTTTCCAATTAATTTTTTTTTCAGTGAATTTTTTTTTCAACTAATATTAACCGTGGGGGCAATTGGTAATGCTACTTTAAACCTTGAGGAGGGGATTGTAATTTCTAAAATGTGAGGGGTGTCAATGTAATTTACCCAGTGAAGGCAAAATTGGTATTTAAAAAAATTAAATTGCTAACATCAACAAAATCTGTTAGTTGACTTAACAGTCAACTAACTGAGGGAGCAATCTGTAATGAAACTTTAAATTTCAAAAAGGGAGATGTAATTTTCAAAAGATAAGAGAGGAAACTATAATATATAAACTCCAGGGGTGTCAATGTAATTTACCCTAGAATTAAACAAATGACTTATTTTGAAAATGATATTTTGCATTGGATTCATCTATTAAAGATCTTTCTTATTCTTATATTGAAAATGATATTTTGCATTGGATTCAACTAGCAAAGATCTTTGTGCTATAATTTTATTATGATAATCTAGTAGTCTAGGACTAAAATTGAATAAAAATGATGTTACTTTATGATGTATGGCTTAGAAAAAATGCAGTATTTTGGTTACAATTTAATTCTATTTCAAAATCAAATCTTTTCATCATATATATTACTGGTGTCTCACAGCAAAATCACAGTAGAAAAACCATTATAGAACATACTCACCAGGGTATTTTTTTCGTTTTGCAATACAAATCTCACCCCAAGAAAAGATGTCTCACTTTTTTCTGAGACAAAGTCATATTGCATATGTAAGATAAAAGAGCTTTTGAGATAGTTACCTGATCACAAATTCTAAATTTGTTGGCTGTCATTCTTCATAAAAGGCTTCTTAACGACTTTGCATATAATTTACCAACAAACTCAATTATGTGAGGACAAATTAGGTACACCTTAAGCCTTCAAAATTAGGCTATGTTTGGCATAAAAATTTTGAGTTAAAATAGTTACAAAAAAAAAAAAAGATTAAATAATTAATAAGATAAAATGTCACATCCAAATTATAATCATTTCATTTTTTTTCTCACAAAAATCAAAAAAATCAAAAAGTTCATTCCAAACAAAACTTTTTAACTCCCGACCAAAATAGTCAAAAAAATTAACCCACATTCTACAAGAAAACTTACTATTTTTTTACTTCTATCATTACGATAAGAATCAATTTCATTCTTGATTTACTTTAAAATCATATTTAATTCGATCCATAAACATCCTACGCCATGTAACCTAATTCCGTGGAGTTTTCCGTAGAGTTTGGATAACAAATAGGGAATTGAACGACCTTAGATTGCGTGGAGTCAAGCCACACCAATTAGTCCCCATTTCTTTTGGATCACCCTTTTTTGATGAATCATGTGGGACCCAATTACATGATAAAATCCATATTTACTCAACAGTCCCTCTTTCTTTTGGATCATGATCACCCATTTGATGAATCACGTGGGACCCAATAATTGTTATTCATTCATTCCATGTGTTTTTATCTCCAAATCCCTTCATACCAATGGCACCATATTAGGTACCCCAAAAATAACGGAACATTCCAAACTACCAAAAACTACACTTTAATTCAAAGATGTTTGTGTTTATTAAACAATACATATAAGCAAAAGTAAAAAATCTAAATAGTCTATTAGAAGCCACCTCTCTTTTAGCTTCTAGGGTGTGGGTCACGATTTTATCCCGTTCTGTTCTATTTTATTTTTATTTTTTGTCTCAAGACGGATTTTGTTTCACTATCATGTTCTATCTCACCTATATCCTCAAGGAATGTATACAATATATAATTTAATTTGTTTTTAAATACAATAAGATTAAAATATCGACATATTACAATTGATATTTAGTTTTACTTATTCAATAATTTGTAATATATCATATTATCTTTTATTTTTATTAATATTATCATTCTTAAAATTATAAAATTAACTCATTTTAATATCTTTCCGATTTATTCTATCTTGACATGACACAGAAGAAGGGTGAAATAATATAAATTCACTCCCTTCCCATCTCCTAACTTCCTTTTGTTTTCTTTTTTTTTTCTTTTTTTGATGAAAGAAAAACAAAAAAAAAACTGAACCTTAAAAAACAGGGTACAACAGAGGACACGAAGATCTCCTAACTTTTGAGGAGGCGCTAGTTGGGGCAATATATGTCGTCCTCTTCTGCTTTTTTTTTAATAAAATGGCCAAAAATCTCATCACAATGCATATTTAATCATAAATGGGTCAAATTGAATCCAGGCAACAAATTCTAATACTTTAAGATAAGTGGCCCTGATGATCTATTATGATCACACATTAAGCCACGTGTATGGTCTAATTCAATTATATTAATTTTTCTTATATCTGTAATTAAATCGGTTATTATCATCTTTACTGCCATCACTTCCTATAACCACCTTTTACTGCCATCACTACCCTCGTACAAAAAGCACCATTATTTTTAAGGCTTAATTAAATACAAGATATTTTCTTATAAAAAAAAAATTCATCAAAGAAAATAAAACATGTCAAAAAAAGCAAGAAGTAATGTCTTGCGTATGAAGAATCTCTTGAGCATTTATTTTTCGATTGTCAGGTGTCTCGGAGGGTAGGGCGTGGGTCTGCATTGGGGCTTGACTTTAGTATTGGCACTCCTACTTCCTTCTTCACGTGGTTCAAGGGTTGGGATCAGCAGAATCATGACTCTGAGATTTTAATACAATCTATTGCCATTTTATAGGCTATCTGGTTACAACGAAATTCTACTGAATTCCATACTATGGCCATGACCATCGAACGAACCTTAGCCATAGCTCATGATTTATTTTCATTGGTTTTTTCACCACAGCAGCAAGTCACACAGGCACTCTCTCACTCATGTTATAACATTAACAATGTCTTCTCTAATCAAGTTCTTTTGCAGCACACTGTTTCAATCACAGCAGATTCTCAGAAGTGGCGTATCGTGGTCGATGGGTCTTGGCTCTCAATGGAGGATTGTACTGGAATGGCCTGGGTTTGTTTTGATGAATGTAATCATCCTGTCCAGCAGATGGCAGTGGCCGGTCCACCATTGCCTTCTCCACAGCAAACGGAAGCTGCAACTGCGTTTCAAGCTCTGCGGTGGGCACATAAATAGGGCATCATGCATCTTCAATTGCAAACAGATTGTCAAGTATTAGTTTTGCTGTTACAAAATTATGACCGGGTCTCTGACGGGCAACTTCAGTCCATTTTGAGTGATATAATGTATTATAGTAAATGTTTTGATTATGTTGTTTTTGAAAAGGTGGGTAAAGAGGTTGTCCAACCTGCTCATTCACTTGCAACTTATGTAAGAAAACGCTTTGCAGTTTAATTTATATTAATGTCAACAACAACAAAAACAATCAGTGTGTGTGGTTTGAGTTTTTTGAATTAAACTTTTTGAAAACTCAATTTTTTGATTTTCATATTTTTTTATTTTTAGTGAATATTTTTTAAATTTTAAATTTTTTTTTATTTTTTTAGATGCACCTTACTTAAATGTATCTAAAAAGTAAAAAATTTATAAAAAATATTTTAAAATTTTAATAAATACATAAAAATATAAAAAATGTATTGAATTCTAGTATTTTTTTATATTTTTAGTATTTAGTAAATTTTTAAAAAGTTTTTTTCATAAATTTTTTACTTTTTAAATATATTTATGTTAAGTATGTCTAAAAAGTAAAAAAAAATTACTTAAAATATTAAAAAAATTTAATAAAAACAAAAAAACATAAAAAATAAAAAAATAAAATTTCCTGAAAAATATTTTTAAAAAAACACCACCAAGCTAGGGACGATGAGGTAGGGGAGCATGGGTCCCATTGTAACCTAACACAAGGAGACTTTTAGCCAAGCCTGCCAGCCACTACCAGCTAAATTGCTATTATTGCACATTAAACGGCTTTGACACAATACTTGGTAACATTTAGGATTCTAGGACCCACATCAAGATAGAATTAGTCAGAAAAAAGATAATAATAATAAATGTTATTAATTGGCTCAAGCTTCTCTCTAATCTAATTTCATACTAGAACGTGTTGTTAGATTTCATGAGCCCACCACAGAATTATCGATAATTCAAACTATTCAATGTTTAGAATTAATCTAGTATTTTATTCCTACAAAAAATTACGTTGATTAGATATTGATAGTCACTTGATTATATCAATTTTATGTTAACATAATTATGATTTTAAAAATAAATTGTTAACAAAAATGTGATATGATCAAGTGGCTATTAATATACAATCAATGTGATTTTTTACAAAAATAAAATATTTGACGAGTCTTATACACTAAATAGTTTAAATTATCAATGTAGCTCCGTAATGAGTCCATAAAGACCCAACAAGACACTCTAGTTGAAAAACCCAACTAGAGACAAGTTGAATCCTTACTAATTTCTATATTATTGACTCGCAAGACAAATTCATGTCCATGCTATGGATAATATGTAAATGATTCCCATGCTATTGTATTCATCTTGATAGAGTGTGAGTCTCATTCAAAATGAATGTAAACATGATATTCTAAACATGTTTCTACAAAAAATTCTAGATCTTGTTTATGCTAATATCTTGGGTACGATTGGCTGATCCTAACCTAATTGAGTTTCCACTGGGTAGAATAATTTCAACCTATACCTCCAAGAAGAACTTGATATAAATAGTTCAAAGTCAATGCTTCCAACTAACAAACCATGGAAAGATCAAATTAAGATAAAAGAATCCAGCATTACACCGCCTCTATATGAATAGTCCACCTAAGAGACCTAGTAGGGCAAAATGGTCATTTCACAATTGGGTTTGTTTAGGAAAGAGGAGATCAAAAAGATGAATAAAGGAAAAGCTTATTGCTTTTTTGTTATAAGAAAAAGGGCTTTTAATCCTGAACTTATCCACCAAGGGAACAGAGGGAGACAGCACAGCTTGAGACAGAGAGAGGGAGAGAAGTGTATTGCTGAAGTTATAGAAGAGAGGCAACAACAAAAACAGAAGACAGCCTTCCTAGAAGAAATTGGGGAAAGAGAAGTAACTTAAAAGTTTCTCTTTCCTTCGCATTTCCATGGCTTAAAAGTGCTCCCTAAGCTCATTTTCCTCATTTCCTATATAACCACCATTCCTCCATTCTCGCCTTCCAAACACAAGAACAAGAAGATTCCAATCCAAAAACTCAACATTAACCTACCACTTCAAAAGAAAATTTCCAATCCAACCTATTACCCATTTTTATTTCGATTTTGATTTTGATCTTGATCTTGATCCAGTAAGATGGATCGCGGGCAAGATGTAGAAGGAAGCGGAAGTGTTCATTTACAAATTGATGAACTTGGCAATGGAGGTCCAACAATTTTTGAACCGCAAAGCAGTATGGAAACAAGAGATAGTAGCAATGCTAATCCTGTTTCTCCATCAGAAACCCAAACCCAAGTCCGCGCCCCAGAGCAGAAGCTGACTCTCTTCGCCCTCCGCCTCGCGGTGCTTGAGAAAGCGGCAACAGGCCTAGGAACACTAGGCTTTATTTGGGCAACAGTAGTCCTACTTGGCGGTTTCGCCATTACCCTTGATGAGACAGACTTCTGGGTCATCACCATAATTCTGTTAATCGAGGGGACTCGGATTTTCAGCAGAAGCCATGAGCTTGAATGGCAACATCAAGCTACATGGTCAATTGCTGATGTTGGAATCAGTAGTTTCCGATTGATAAGATCAAGCTCACACTTCATAATTAAAACTATAAAAGCAATCTTCAAACCCATTGACTTGGTTCGGAAGCAAAGCCAAAGGGGCCGAGAAGTTAATCAGAGTACTCACCTGGGAAGCCACAAAAACTGTGTTCAGAAAAAGATGCCGACTCGAACATGGTTGGCTTCAGATGTTCCTCTGTTGCCATATGCCCAATGGGTTTTCTCAGCAAAACATGTCAGCAGGCTTCTGTATTGGCTCCAGATTGCTTCTGCGTTAACCTGCACAGGTTTATCATTAATGAAGCTCATTAGACATAACTATGGCGAAATAGCAAAAGGAGATACCGATAAGCGGAATCGCGGGTCTGCTCTGAATATTTTTTACGCCTTGGCATTGGCAGAAGCTTTGCTGTTTTTATTGGAGAAAGCTTACTGGGAATGGAATGTGATTTACTATAAAGTGTTGGATGAGGTGAACAGAGAGTGTGAATTGGGGGCTTCGGGTATGGTTTCGATTAAACGATTCTTCTACGATTCGTATTCGAGGTGTGTTAATGGAAGCATTTTTGACGGCCTAAAGATGGATATGGTTTCGTTCGCTATTGATCTCTTGGATTCAAATTCGCCGGATGAACAGCTAATCGGAGTTAGGATTTTACACAAATTCTCAATGAATCAGCGGTTTTCGGATGATACACTGCAAAAGATTGGAATAACGTTTCCGGTGATGGAACGGTTAGTTGAGATGTTGAATTGGAAAGATCCACAAGAAGAAGAGATCAGGAAATCAGCGGCAGAGATATTGACGAAGCTAGCAGGCAAAAAACAGAACTCTCTACGGGTTGCTGGAATACCTGGTGCGATGGAATCAATATCGTCTCTGCTCCAGAGCCAAAGGACTCATAGTATAGCTGATGAAATCTCTGCGAAGAGAGTCGTCCACGACCATGAAAATTACAGTTTCTCGACATTCAATCATTTGGGACTTCTCATTCTAAAGAAACTTGCTCGAGACCATGATAATTGCGGAAAGATGGGGAACACGAGAGGACTCTTACCGAAAATAATAGATTTTACTCACGCAGAAGAGAGGTTATTGAAGGACGAAACTACTACAGAGTCTCAGATCTTGACGGTGAGACGATCTCTTCAAGTGCTGAAGATGCTTGCTAGAACAACAGGCACCAACGGTAAGCAGCTCAGAAGAGAGATTTCGGAGGTTGTTTTCACAATTAGCAACATCAGAGATATACTACGGTATGGTGAGAAACACCCAATGCTGCAACAACTAGGGATAGAGATTTTAACCAGTCTGGCAATGGAAGAGGACGCAACAACGAGGATCGGGAGCACAGGCGGAGTCGTCAAAGAATTGTTCAACATTTTCTTCAAAATGGAGATGCCTGAAAATCAGAATCATGTAAGAATTGCAGCTGGAGAAGCGCTAGCAATGCTGGCATTAGAAAGCAAGGTTAATTGTCATCAGATATTGAAATTGAAGAAAATTGAAAAGCTCATTGAAGCATTGGAAGTTCCATTGCTACGCATCAATGCAGCACGAATCTTAACAAATTTGTGCACCTACGTTGGAGCAGACTGTTTCATGAAGTTAAAGGGGGTCACTGCTGCAGCACCCACGGTAAGTTCTCATTTAACACCAAAGAACATTCAATATCTTGCAACACAATAGGATTGTATCTTTTCAAGTTGTACAGACAGACACACGGCAAACATTCAATTTCAGAGTAATGCAGATGATAGGGTTCCTTTACTCCTATGTAAACTACAGAATGTAATGGGGATAATAATCTATAAAATCAACTCCATTGCAGGTGCTTAAAGCAATAATTTCAGAAGAAAGCAAATTGCAAGAAGTGATGATCGGACTAGCAGCACATGTTTTCAAATATATGACTACTGAAGAATCGAGCATTGTGTTCGAGAGAGCTGGAATTCAAGTGGCTGAATTAGCTAGTGTACTAGTCCAGATTCTGGAGAAACACAAGTATCCAGCAACCAAGACTCCGAGAATTAGGAGGTTTGTCATAGAGTTGGTGATTTGGATGATGAGAGATGAGGAAACAAATGTTCAAATTTTCAAGGGTCTGGGAATGGAGAAGGAGCTGGAGTCAGTAACAGATACCACATCAGAGCTTGAAAACTTCAATGTTTTCTCTGGTACCGTTGGATTGAGCCGGCACATCACACCAATTCACTCGCTAGTCGAAACTGCGATGAAGTTACTGGAAGATAAATAATTTATGGTAATTCAGAACAGATTTTTCAAATACAATATATCACGTTGGCATGTCAGAAAAAATGCAATAATTTTGTAAATATGGATGCATGAAGATTATAGGAATTCTTTTTTTATAATGTAAAAAGTACCAGAAGTTCTATTATCTCAATAATCAAGCTATTTCTATTGAGAATGTCAGTTGCAGGTTACATTTATAAAACAATCTCCATATTAGATTGCTAATAACTAGAATGTGCACTACAAAAGTAGGACATATGAATTTGGTTATATATTATAAGTAAGGTGAACATTGATCCTGTGGTTGACTGCAGAGCAGTGGAAGGGCAAAGCCTGAACCAATTACTCCACACACTCAGGTTCGTTACAAAATTAGAAACTATTAATGCTCTAAATTCTCAATTCATCCCAAGCCAAATCAAGCCAGCCAAGATTAAAAACCTTATTCTGGTATCCTAAAAATCAAGAACCACCTGTTATGGTTTCAAGGATGAAAATAAATAAAAACTCAAACCTTAATTCAAGCACAGGTATGGTCTCAAGGATGACAGAACAGTTGTACATTGGGCAAGACAACAAACACACACAAGCTATAAGTTGGCCAATAAAAGCATGATTTTTACACACAAAGTAATTCATGTGTTTGCTAAAATTCATGTTTCTCAAATATATATATACTGGCAAAAATATACTTGCTTCATATAGTCATAGTCCTCAATCCTTTAGACTAGGATCATGGATTTGAGTAGAGATTTGAAAAGAGAAAGAAAAAGATGAGAGAAATGTAAATAAAATATAGACTAAATTTTGTCTCCATTTCTCTCATCTTTTTCTTTTCCTTCTCAAATCTCTACCCAAACTTATGACCCAAACACAGCCTTAGAGTCATAATACAATATGCTCATAGAATCGTGCACTACATAAGGCAAGAATGAAAGAAGGGACAGAAATCAAAGAATTTATAAGTCACATCCAATTGACCATAATTTGCTTCTAGAAGCACCAGTCAGAGGCAATAATCAAGGACCAGGTCCATTCATACTAGACCTGAAAGTCATAATTTCAATTAGAAGTAATAGATTTCATAGAATTTAATTCATCCGAAAATGAAGAGAGAAACATTTCTGAAGAGCCCAAAACCACCTTAAGCAATTTTGCATTATAAACAGAAAGAAGGAAATAAAAAAATTTCTCCATACAATCCATATAAATCAAAATCCAACTTATTTACCTCACTAACAGTGACTAAAGTAAACATCACTAATCACCAGAAATTGCACTCATCTCTATGAAGAGTAGCCTGACATCTGTTAAACATCTTTCTGCAAATGAGTAGGCATGAATTTTATTGTTCAGGACCAGTTGCAGTATTTTAGTCAATTACTTTTGAGACAACTCCTGCACCAACCGTCCTACCTCCTTCTCTCAAAGCAAATCTTTGTCCTGTTAATAGCAAATGATCACAACACATCCCATGGATTAGACCAACAAAAAAGCAAGAATACAGAACTCAAACAAAAACAAACTATTATAGTTAGCTTCTATACTAAAAGTTCTCAATCCAAGTACTATGACTTCATCAGAAGATGAGGACTTGCAATGGGCCAGCAGTTCAATATTTGAAAACTTGAAGAAAATTTGCGTGACAAATAAGTTTCAAGTGGTTTTAGATATTATGAAATGTATTAAAAGAAAAATTAATTTTATGGAGATCTTTCACATACAAAAGAAACAACAAAGTCAATACCCTCTGTCAGTTAAGACCAGCAGGCTATAAAGCTTCGTCAAAGTTTTTGTCTAATCCATGTTCCAGATACTGTTTAATCTTATGAGTAAATATCATTCATGAAAGTGTTTGTTTTAATTTGATATATGGTTGATGGCATCATTGTGTATTCCACAAGCATAGCCAGCCATATCAGCTTCACAATTAATTGAAATTATGTACTTATGTGAAGCATATGCCTCAGAAATATTAGGTTTGTCGCAGTTGGCATAACATATGCCACTAATATGCATAACTATGACTAAGTAAATGCATTTTAATCAAATCCCAAGTATAAATAGCCTGTACAAATACATTGCAACAACGACCCTACAAGGTAACAATACATGTTTATGAGATTCACTGGTGTCTATGAAGCAAAATATTTCACTTCACATTGTCATGACCTACACAACCAGCATTGCCCAAGCATTTGTAAGTAATACTGGACATATGATGCAAAAAACAAACTTCAACACATCTACATTCAATTTACTTCAAACATAACTTCAGTGATAATTTCCTCCTAAGGGATGCCAGTTATATTCACAAGAAATATGACAGAACTCCATGAGAAAGAATGGATACTCCTTTGAATTCTGATATAAAGAAAAATGAAGCAGAAATTATGAGAAATAAAGAAATTTATAATCATTTGTGTATCACCACAAGTAGGTTTATCTTCAAAAAAGAAATACTGTTGTCAAACAAACCTGCTTCAACAGGAACAGGTGAAATCAGCTCAAAAACTGCAGTCACATTGTCACCAGGCATCACCATCTTAACATTTTCAGGCAATTCCACCTTCCCTGTAATATCTGCAGTCCTCATGTAGAATTGAGGCATATAATTTGAGAAAAACGCAGTATGGCGGCCACCTTCATCTTTCGTGAGAACATAAATCTCTGCCTCAAAACGCTTATAAGTTTTTAGGGTTCCAGGTTTTGCTACTACCTGTGGCATTAATAACACTGTCACCAAAACGAGATACTTGGTGTTGGGGATAGAATAAAGAAATGAAAAGAAAAATCAACAGTCCCTGCAATGCTACAAACATCATTACAGTGTTGAAAGCTCTTCCTCATGCAATCAAACATGTTTCATTATAATGTCAAGAAGCATTATCCATTACGACAAGGTAGGCCATTACATTTTAATTACTTTAATAGTAAGATAAAATGATCGATTCACTTTATAAATTGAGAATTGCAACTTGGCTGGAGCTACAGTTTCATATTGGTGGCCATGCACACCTTAGCCACTTTCACTCACCTGTCCTCGTTGTACCTCATCACGCTTTAAGCCACGCAAAAGAAGGCCCACATTATCACCAGCCTACAGGAGAAACAACATACCAATATTGTAGTGACCTCTGCACTGAAACTGAAGTGTCCAATAATGTAAAAATTAGACAAAAGTTTTACCTGTCCATGATCCAAACTTTTCTTAAACATCTCTACACCAGTGACTGTAGTCTTCAAGGGCCCACCCTACAGAAGACAGACAGACAGACACAACATAATAAGATTAGTATCTTGCATAAAACATAGAAAGTAAATGTGAAGGCATTCTTCATGTTCATGTTATTTTATAAATTTGATTTTAGTACTATGAAGTACCTGCATCAATCCCAAAATTTCAATATCCTCACCAACTTTGATGGTACCCTGTTCAATACGACCAGTAACAACAGTCCCACGTCCCTTCAACAAATAAAATAATCATTAATTGAGGTAGCAGTGAATATCAGGTTCAACTTTTCACAATGTCCGTGTATATATTGATAACTGTGTAATAGGCTTTCCATGGTAGAAACTACAAAAGGCATATTTTTTTAAAAAATAATAATAATGTATTAACTTCTAAGACTTCATAAATATCAAACACATAAATTGCTACTGAACAGTGCAAAATAGAATACATTGATGTAAAAAACCGCTCAATTTATTGCAACTGCATAGAAAACTATGGTACATTCCATATTGCTATGGAATGGCATAAAATCATCACCAATGTGCATTGCAAGATACTTGAAACATTTTTTTTTTTGTCATTATTAATTATAATTAACATAAATTTTATAACTTATAGAAAAACTTAAAAAGGTTCTTGCAAGTTAAAGTTGTTTCTTTTTCCACGGCAACGAGAAAAATTAAGTAATGAACTTATATCTATGGTGATATGTCCTCTTATTGGTTGTTCACATTAAGGGAGAAACTCTGTACTTGGAATTTTTGAATAAGAATTAAAAACCTAAAAGGTTTGCTGACACATGATATATATTACAAACCATGTGTACTTGCACTTGTCTTCCTATAATAAAATTTAAATACTATCTCAAGATAAACAAAATGTGATAAAAAAAACACAATCAGACAACTACTTACTTATAAGTATACAGCATCATTAATTGAAGAAGTTTTATTGAGAAATTGTGCAAGGAAATTGAAACTAACCTAGAAAAGGCATCATGCAGTAAGCAGTTTGTAATTAAAAATGCAAGTCGTTGAATTACCTGAATTGAAAAAACATCTTCAACTGGCATTAAGAACGGCTTATCAAGCTGGCGTACAGGATCAGTTATATATTCATCCACAGCATCCATTAGTTTTAAAATAGCCTTTTTCCCAAGTTCATCATTTGTCCCCTGTAGGGCAGACAAGGCTGAACCCCGAACAATTGGGATTTCATCTCCAGGAAATTTGTAGAAGTTGAGCAGCTCTGCAAGAATCATTTATCCGGTTACAAGCTCAATGAAATCATGACATAAGCCAAACCAAACTAAATCTTGTGTCCCAATCAGATGGGGTTGGCTAAATCATGACATAAACAGTAAGTTAATAGCTATAAAGATAATAAGTCAATAACTAAGAAATCCTAACATCATACCACAGAGTTCCTTGACTCCATCACATAACCAAGTTGTAGAAGTAATTAAAAAGAACAGCAAGTGAAATAAGTATTAACAGTTTTAAAGGTTCTCATACCACGGAGTTCCATCTCAACAAGTTCTAGTAGCTCTGAATCATCAACAGCATCGACTTTATTAAGAAAGCATACCAAAGATGGTACACCAACCTTCACACAACAATAAGAAGTACTCAGCAACATGGTTCTTTAAAAAATTGAACACATGAAACAAGAAAATCTGCTTTACAAGCTGCTAACAAAGGGTTGCAGACCTGGCGGGCAAGCAAAATATGTTCCTTTGTCTGTGGCATGGGTCCATCTGGAGCAGATACCACCAGGATGCCCCCATCCATTTGGGCAGCTCCAGTAATCATGTTCTACAGTTCAACCACATGTATCTAGCAAGTGAGGACATTCCTTGAAAGATGATAACTTATCGACATTTTTGTGTGCCCATGGAAGTTAGACAACTGAATTTTGACACCATGATGATTCCAAGTACGTAATCCAAAAAAGAAACTCAAGCAATAAAGGCTACCAGCTTAGACCTTGGAGATACTTAGTCCCTTTAAGGCTAGAACTTGATCCATCCTACTACTCTCTCATAATTTCATATTGAGATTTGTAGTTAACTAGAAATTCCAAAGCAAATTGCTCCTTTCATTTCTTAGTCACCAGAAGGCTAGAACAAGATCTACCATATTTTTCAGTCATAATTTTATACATAATCCCAGAAGGGAACTCAAGTAATAAAGGCTACCAGCTTAGATACTCAGTACCTACTAGAAGGCTACAACTAGGTCTATCCTATTTCTCAGTCTTAATTTATTCTGAGATTTTTCTACCAATAAAAAATTTTCATGCCATATCCTTCGTGAATGAACTGCCATTTATAATTCTAGACTCCTAGTGTGTCACATAAGAAGCATATTTGGGTCTGATCAGCAGATTTACCAGGGCCATTTGATAGCAATGCATGTATAATGTATTAGATCCAAATTATTTGCCCATGTAGAAATTCTATCAACCTTGGATCTAAGACATGATCAATCTTATCAGGGCAAGAGCTGTTAAGAACATGAGAATAACAAAATGATTCAATAAATATTGGAAGTTAAAAAGTAGGCAACAGGCACAATTCAACTATAGTGCCATTCTTTTATGTGTGTACTGCTTCCATCATTCATGGTGCAGTCTAGAAAACTGCTTCTTTCATTTCCAGACCTCATGTGAGCATACAATTGGGGTGGGACCACTGGGTAGAAAATTATTGGATGGCATATTTGGCTGTGTTCAAATTATATGTTTCTCAAAATGCACTGAACTTCACCTGCATCCGCTAGGAAGCATTGTAATGCTCTATATAAATCAAAAAAATTTAGATTTTAGAAATTTGTTTTTTTACAGAAAACAAATCAAACTTAAAAGGCTTACTTTAACATAGTCTGCATGTCCTGGGCAGTCAACATGAGCATAGTGCCGCTTAGTAGTTTCGTACTCCACATGGGCCTGCAAAATCATGTCAAGACCTAGGGTGAACTCACAGAATGGTTTCAAAAGGTATATAAATGAGCCTAATGAGGTAACAGAAATTTTAGGCCACCTCAGCATAATGCTTTTTGAAATATAATGTTGAAAATAAGGCAAGCAAAGCTGTATCTTAACCGTAGCAATAGTAATTCCCCTCTTCTTCTCTTCAGGAGCCTTATCAATCTCATCAAAGGCAACAGCCTTGGCTTTGCCTTCTTCCGCAAGCACCTATGGTAAATAAATAAGAAATAGAGTTATTCCAACTATTTATGAAGTTAACAGGCAATTGCAAGAATAAGAAAAGCGGCAACTTCCCCATTTCAAACTGTCAGCATGCTCAACATGTCCCAGTTTCAGGTCATTTTATCATGAAATACGATCAAGAGAAGAAAAAGATTCATATCGACTGATCAAATAATTATAAATACTCAACCTTTGTGATTGCAGCAGTCAAAGTAGTTTTCCCATGATCAACATGTCCAATGGTACCCACATTTACATGTGGTTTTCTAGAACAACAAAACCAAAAAATGGAAAATGATGAGCTAACAAGCATGAATTGAAACAAATCGTGATGAGAAGTAGAGAGATATGCATATCTGAATATAAAGTTACAATATTATCTGACAGATAATAAGCATATTCATCATCCCTTCAAATTCACTAACCACCTTACAAAGGATTGAGCTCATGGTAGCATCTGCCATTTGGATATCCCACGGAAATTAGAACTACTCACTAATTTTACTTGTGATTCACAGTGAATCCATCATCTTTACCGTAGCATTTGCATAATTCTCTGTTTCCATTGACACTCAATCAAAAATATAGGCTACTCAATATTCCAATGAATGACCTCATTTTCTTTATGTTGGTTCTTAAGGTGATATTTCCTCATTGCAAATCTATGTCACAAAATACATCTTCGAACAGATATCCACACATTGCTAATAAGTCACATCTTAATGAAAAATTTATTAGAAAGAGTGAAAATCTTGGTACATTTTTCTGTCATTGAAAAAATCCTTTATAAAATAAAAATAAAAAGAAAAAAGAAAAAAAAAAAAGGACTAACCCTCCAATTGAATCCCTATAAGCCGGAGGAAATAAAAACAAATAAAGGTTATGCAGCTTTCGTTTCAATTTCCATTTTTCTTAAGAAAAATAAAAATAAAAAACAAGTTTTTGTACCTTCAATATGAAAAAACTTAAATAGAATAAATTGAGTAGAATTATATTTTCCAATCGCATCCTAATTAATATTCAAAAGCTAATTTTGTGTATTTACTAAATATTCTCAGCAACCAAAAGAGTGCAATTGAAATTAAAATGCAAGTGCCAACAACCATAATAAAAAAAATGCAAACACATATATAGTTACAAAATTACAGTCATGATCAAAATCAACCAAGCAACATCGCACATCGAACCAAATTACACAATTAACCAATTCAAAACACAAAGCAATCAGAATAAAAACTTTTCAATAAAAGAAATGTGTATGATCAATGATGAAATATAGAAAATATCAAAGCAATTGGTTATGCAGCATTGGTTTCCGTTTCATTTTTCTCCAAAAAACAGAGAAAAAATAGTTTTTGTGTACCTTAATGCTCCGTTTGTTTGGACAAAAAAAGAAATTCCATATTTTATGGCGTTCAGTACAATGGTGAACCAAAATCAATAGAAAACATTTTCTATAGTCAACGAAAAACAAACCTACTTGGGTAGAACATGTTTTCCATTCTTAAAACGCGGAAAATGTTTTCCAAACTAAAGTCTCACCAATGTCACCCCACTACTACTGCCACTCTCACCTCCACCACCGCACCACCATCACCACGGCCACTACCACCATCACCGCCACCCCACCACGACTCTGCCACCTCTACCTTCATCCCACCACCACAACCAAACATAGAAAAATATTTTCTAGAAAAAGTTTTTTCATAGAAAATATTTTCCGCCCCAACAAAACGGAGCATAAATATGAAAAGCTACGAACTTAGATAGAAATATAGGCTCATTGAGTAGAATTATTTTCCTTTCACATCCTAAGTATGATTCAAAACTTAATTTTGCATCTTTCCCAAAGATTCTCAGCAACCAAAAGGCGGCTTAAATAAAAATAACATTACAAGTGCCAATGATCAAATTCAAAACAAGCAACATCACACATCGAACCAAATTACACAATTAACCAATTCAAAACACAAAACATATCGATCAAAGCAATTGATTTGTGAGAAAACTAACGTTCTTGTGAATGTGGCCATGGATCGCCACCATGGAGCGAATTGAGAAGCACTTGCATTTCCGCGAAGCAAGTGCAAGTGAGTCGAACTCAAACCTCGACAGAAAGAGTAGGTAGGTGCGATGAATGAGAGAATGTGCTTCGAATTATGAGCTCTGACCACTGATGATGATAATGAAGCCATTGAGACCCCAACGCACAGAATATATATATATAGTTGTGTTGTGTATGTATATATCACTCAGAGGGAACAGAAGTTTAGGAGTCTCATGCGAAAGGGTTTTAGAGAGAGAATTATCAATCATGAGAAAATGATACTCTCACCGATCACCAAACCAAATCAGTCCGGGGCATCGATGATGGGATGGCTAAAATTGTTTCTTGTTATAGAATAAAAAGTGATAAAAGTGAGAATAAAAAAGAGTAATACTAGAGACTCCAAATATTCTACCAAAAGTTTTATCAAATGTCTCATATGGGTGTGGGTCCCACACCCATGTGAGACATTTGGTAAAACTTTTGGTAGAATTTTTGGAATCTCTAGCATTTTTGAATCAAAAATATTTGTTAAGATACCTTAATAATTTAGTTTAATCAAAAATTTTAAGGCCAAAATTAAATTTTAAGTCCAAAAAAAAAAGAATAATGATTTGTCCCCCTAATTTCTTTTCTCGAATCCCCCTAATTTCAGAAGAGAGAGAGAGAGAGAGAGAAGAGAAGAGAGGGAAGAGGAGGAGTTCAGAATAGAGGGAAAAGGAGGAGCTCGATCGTCGTCCTCTGCCCGATCGTCGTCTCCGGCAGCCCCCGCTTCTGCCCGATCGTCATCTCCGGCAGCCCCCGCCTTTGCCTCGCCTCCGCCTCCTCCTCCCCGTGGTTATGGCCCCCTCCAGTCCTCCTTCTTCCTCCTTCTCCTCCTTTTTCCTTCTCTTCTCTTTTCTTCTCCTTCTTCCTCCTTCTTCTCCCTCGTTTCTGATTGAACCAGGGAAAAAAAAAAAATGCAGAAACGACGTCGTTTCTGGGATTAGGGGGATTCGGGGAGACTTTTTTCAAGCGACGTAGCATTACCGAAAAAAAAATCCCAACTAGTTAAAAAAAAAAAAAAATCCGTTGACCGGGTCAACCGGCCAGTCAACCCGGAAGACAAAAAAAACACTTCCCTACCATAGCTAAAGCGCTAGCCGCAGTTAACAAACGTTTTAACACACATGACTAACACACACCACTAACGCACGCCTTAACCGATCCATTGCAGCACCAAACAACAATCCTTGCTAGCTAAAACTTACCAACTGACACTAACACTCTCCTTAACCGATCCACTGCGGATGCTCTAATCTGTTTAAATTAGATTCAAATTTTTTCTCAAATTTGAATTTTAATTATTTTATCAAATTGGTATCAAATACAAAGAGTTTACTTTTCTTTCATTAGATTAAAAAAAGGTTAACCTTTCGTTGGTAAATGTCTGGATGAATAATCAGCCGGTCAATTGGGATAAACGATCAATCAAACAGCTAGATGAACAATTGGATTGAATCAATCAAACAGCTAGATGAACAATTGGATTGAAAAAAATTTACATTAGACTGATCGACCACCCAAATATCCTCTTGGTCATTCTCCCGTTGACCAATTGTTTGATGAAAATTAAAAATTTAGCATTACACCGATGGGTATCAGATGAAAATTTTACTTAATGGTCATTCTCCCGTTGACCAATTGTTTGATGAAAATTAAAAATTTAGCATTACACCGATGGGTATCAGATGAAAATTTTACTTAAATTTAATAAAAAAAAATAATAAATGTTAGAGATATTCTTATACATTTTACCCTATTTCTTTTTAAACATCGGTATCCATTTTTATATATGATTTTCATACAAAATGGTTTCTTTTATAAATTATTTTTCAAAAACTTGTTATCAATAAACACTTGTCATTACATTGTTGATTAAATTTGAACAATAATAAATTATTTTAATATAATTTTTTGGGTCACACTAATAATAGTTTTAAGACTGTTTAATTATCACTTATTAAGCATTCTTTAAGAATTAAACAATGTTAAAAAAATTAAAATTCCAATCCGCAATTAACATTTTATCATAAACTTTTATATACATTTCATATATTTTAATATATTTTATATATATATATATATATTAACATTAATCATAATCATCGTTTATTAGACAATAGTGCTGTCAATAATGTTAAAAACAAATAAAATTCTAATACTCTTCACATGTTTTTAAACATTTTTATAATTTTTTACATTTGTATCTATACTATCTATATAATAGAATGTAGTGTTTTTTCAAAAGCTTTTAAAATGTCATTCTAAAATTCTTATAAATTTGAAAAATACGTGGCAACTCTCCTTTGAGTTTATAGCTCTTTTCCTTCGCGCTCTTAAAGACTTTCATAACAATAAAAACTCTTACTCTTCCACCTTTCTCTCCTACCCAGGGCCGGCCCTGGGCAAAGGCTGGTAAGGCCTGTGCCTAGGGCCCCAAAAATTAGGTCTAAAAAAGGGCCCCCAAATTTAGTCTTGTATTAAACTAAAATTTTAAGATGGCCCAATTCTGTTTAATTAATTTAGGCCATTTTAAAGGAGGCCTCAACAAATCTATTTGGCCCAATTGATAAAAGGCCTAATTGAAAAATATTTATAAGTTTTAGTTGTTAGTCTAATTAAAAAAATAAAATATAAAATATACGTATATGTATTAGTCGTTAGCCTAATTTTATGTGTCCTATTTTTTTTTCTCTTTATGGCCCAATTATGTGTTTTTTAGTATTTTTTTTAAAAATATTTTATACAATTTTTATTTATTTATTTTGTAGATATATCTAATTTAGATACGCTTAAAAACTATAATATTTATATTTTTTTGAAAAAGTGTTACCAAATAGAAAAATATATAAAAAAAAAATACAAATTGTAAACTTAGACAATTATTTTTGAAAACTCTAAACCAAACAAAGTGATTTTTATTTTTATTTTTATTTTTAATAAATATCTAAAAAGGCCCCGAAAAATTAGTTTGCCTTAGGCCCCCGGAAACTCAGGGCCGGCCCTGCTCCTACCTTACGTTTCTTCCCTACCCTCAAAGACTTTCACTCCCACTCTTCCACTATCCACAACTCCTATCCATAAAAAGCTGTCAACAAAAAATATAAATTTGAAAAATACGTGGCAACTCTCCTCCGAGTTTATAGCTCTTTTCCTTCGCTTTCAAAGACTTTCATAACAATAAAAACTCCCATTCTTCCACCTTTCTCTCCTACACTACGTTTCTTCCCTACCCTCAAAGACTTTCACTCCCACTCTTCCACTATCCACAACTCTTATCCATAAAAAACTGTCAACAAAAAAAATCAAAACCTATCCATAAAAGGCTGTTACTCTCCCACCTCAAACAAATCTCTTCTACCCTCAAACACTTTCAGTCCCACTCTCCCACTATCCTACAACAGATAGATATAAAAATAAAAAAAAAAACCACCCATCTATCCATATCCCCTTAAACCATTATTTCTAACAATCCACTACTACAAATACATAAAATTCTCATAAATACGTTTCTTCCCTACCCTCAAAGACTTTCACTCTCACTCTTCCACTATCCACAACTCTTATCCATAAAAAGCTGTGAACAAAAAAAATCAAAACCTATCCATGAAAAGTTGTTACTCTCCCACCTCAAACAAATCTCTTCTACCCTCAAACACCTTCAGTCCCACTCTCCCACTATCCTACAACAGAGAGATATAAAAAAAAAACCACCCATCTATCCATATCCCCTTAAACCATTATTTCTAACAATCCACTATTACAAATACATGTACTTCATCATTCCTTCATCAACAGTGAACGCCAGCAGTCAGCCATTGAATGCAAGTCTCGATTTTTCTTTTTCTTTTTCTTTAATAATTTATTTTTTGTTCCAAGCATTTGAGATTTTGTATTTTGACTACAAAAATTGCAGAAAATTGTAATGTCCATGTCTCTGTTTTTCTTTTTCTTTTGCTCTAATAATTTGTACCATATTGTGTCCTTGAGGATATTCCTGGAGTGTTTGTTCCACCAATTTTGAATTTTTATTGAAGACTCAATAGGATATATATAACCCAATCTTCTCTCCGGTTCTATATCTCTCTCCCTCATCTCCATTGAAGAATCCTATAAACACAAATCTCTCTCCTCTGCCCCACTCCATAGAGCTTAATTAAGTGCACATGGCTATTGTTTATGAGGGCAACAAACATGTTTATGTTTCTCTTTTTCTTGAAAATAAAATCAATAATTTTACACATAATACAACTAAATTTATTTTGGGTGGAGTAAGGGGAAATTAATTAATTTTATGAATATTATAAAATCATAACAGGTATTAAGTTATTTGTGCATTAAACTCATATTTTTTTTAATTTTTTTTTTATAATTTTACACAACTTTTAAATTTACAATTAATACTCTATTTGGTTTGGAGTTTTCAAAAACAGTTTTTTGAGTTTTCAATTCGTATTTTTATATTTTTAGTGATTTTTAAAATATTTTTATTTTTATTTTTTAGATCCACTTAATCTTGATATACTTAAAAGATATAAAATTTGTACAAAAATCTTTAAAAAATTTATTGAATACAACAAAATAGGAAAATGTATTGAATTTTCTTATTTTTGATTTTTTTTTTTTTGTTTTGTATTTGGTGAATGTTAAAAAAAAATTATATAAGTATTATACTTTTTAAGTATATCTAGATTAGATATATCTAGAAAATTTTAAAAAACTACTTAAAATGTTAAAAAAAATTACTAAAAAATAAAAACTTAATTTTTTAAAAAGTGAGTTAAATCTAAAGTTTTATATAAGAGAAACAAAATGATTAAAAAAAAAAACGAGTATAATATTTATGGACAAAAAATATTTATCCCGTGCATAGCACGGGTGAACGCTAGTTTATATATATATATATATGGAATTAATGAGAGACTTTACTATTCAACTGCTTCTAGGCTAGCTTATGAGGTGAAAATAGACTTTGATGCTAATGGATAGAAGATAATCCTACAAACATGAACACATTAATCCCATTTCCATACCCATCCCTACTAACATTTCCACTACTCTTCTAGCCAAACAAGACTTTACTTGGTTTTGCTTTCACACCCTTTCCCACCTTTTGTATCAACAAATGTAAATCATATTCAATACAACACATTCACATCAATTCCTTCTGTTTCTTTCTTTTTTTCCTTTTTATTTTTTCTTTTTTCTTTTTTCTTTTTTCTTTTCTTATTTCTGTATTAACTATTTCATTCCTCCCATTTTTCTTTCTTACATAACAATACAACATTAAATTGTCCAAACATCAACCA